ATCTTCTGTTCTGATGCTCATACTGAAGTTTTTATTTTTACTTAAACTTTAAAAGATCACTTGGAAGAAATAAGATTAAATGTGCATATGTGTAATATTATTTATGTATCTTATGTTTATCCATAACATAACACAAGATGGGAAACCCCAAACAATAAAAATTATGTCAGCCAGTAAACTAGTACAATATTTGAAAAACAGTATAATTCTGTAAATGCATGTAAAATTGGAATGTACAGACCTCTGACCAAAAATCTCTACAATTTTAATATAAAGAATGTGTGGGTAAATTTTCAAATAGGTATAAAAATTATTATTGTTACAGTATCGAGAAAAAGATATAATGTAGTTTTACATAAATTGCTATATCCAATCAATAGAACACTATGCAATCATATAAAGATTATGAGTATATGCTATCATGAATGCAGAAAGATGCCCATGATATAGTTTGAGCTTAAAAAGACTGGATATCAGCAATTCAGATGGTTCTATCTATACATGTGTGTATGTGTATGTGTGTGTGTGTGTGCCTATGAGTATATATGCACAGGGGAAAATCCAGAAAGAACTTTGTCAAAATAATGATAATTTCTGAATGGTGAGATTTTGGAGAGTTTCTGCTTTCTTCTATATGCCTGTATTATTTGATTTTGTACAATGAACTTGCATAAATGAAAGGCCCAAGTTCTGATATCTAGAGACTTTATAACAGGATCTTAAAGCTGGAAGCCACTCTCATCACATCTCCCAACTGGTTCCATGGTTGCCATTATCTTCCCTGCGAGGATAAGCAGGAGGGTAGGATTCTAGTCCCTCTCACCTGCAGCCTTCTGATGGCTACAGAAAGTCCCTCTTTTCCTTTCACAGCCATATATAAACCCTTTCCAGCTCCTAATAACTACCCCATATTGACTCTACTATTGACAAAGGCAGACTCATTTTTAATTTCCCAACATTCACAAAGTCACACTACACAGATGACATTTCACACATTGGGATTTTCTAGAAGCTCCATCATCTTTTAAGATGAGATACCATTTCCTGTCCACACTTACCATATGGCTCTGTGGTCAGTGCAACAAGCCACTAGGCAAAACCTGTGACTTCCTTCCTTTATTTCAAAGCATAGAAGTTGCCATATTGACATTCATTCTAACACAGCAAAGAAGAAAGGGCTGTTCAACTCTAGCAAGCAAAATGACAGATTCTGCATATCAAAGTCCACTGCCAAGCTCCAAATCCTCAGCTTCCCTGCTTGGGCGCTTTATAATGTGGTTCCAAGGCAGCTACTTTGAGTTTAAGAGGTAGGGTAGGAAGAAAAGGAGAGGAGGAGGAAGAAGAAGAGAAGGAGAACACAGAGTAAAGGTAGACTGACTTCTCTCAGTTAGAAAATAATTATCAGGTTTAATAATCAAATCAGCATAAAGACATTGATCCTTATTAAAACAAAACCTGCTATAAAATACGTTATACTTCCTGAGCATGGTAGTACATGCCTGTGGTAGTGCACTCTGGGAGGCTGAGTTAGAAGTTCAAGCCTAGCTTGAGCAACTTAGTAAATTAGTGAGATACTATCTCAAAAATTTAAAAAAGTTAAAGGACTAGGGTTGTAGCTCACTGTGAAGGACATGGGTTCAATGCCTAGTACCCCCCCCCCCGCAAAAAAAGAGGTTTCAGCTATTGGAGGAACTTTTAATATGAACTGAGTATTTTATAATACCAATGAATTATTTTTATGCTTTTAGTTTGTGACAATGGTACTGCGGTTATGTAAGATATATATGTGTATGTATATTTGCACATGTATTTCAATATAAGCATGTACTGATATGTGGAGGCATGGAGGCATGATATTTGAGATTTGCATTAAGTACTTGAACAAGAATAAAGAAAGAAAATACAGGAAAATTAGAGTAGCAAAAGCAGTGATTATTATTAAATCTGGGTGGTAGGTGTCTTGGGAATTCTGGTATCATTATTTCAACTTCAGTTGAAAATTTCTTTAAAAAGTCTTAGACTCTTGCATTTAGTTGTTGAGGGTGGCTTTCACTTTGCAAGAATACCCTCAATTTCTCACAGTTTGGGAAGTGGAAATAAAGCAGCCAAATAAACACAACATGACTTTGTTGCCCTAACCACAGTCTCTTGTGCATGAATATGTGTTGGAAAAAGGGAAGGGGGCAGGAGAGAACAAGAAGAGGGAGGAGGAGCAGGAAAGAGGGAGAAGAAGAAGGGGCGGGGTGAGTAGAAAGGAAAGGGAGAGACAAAAGTGAAGGGAAGGGAAAGGAAGAGAAAGGAAGGGAAAGGAAGGAGAGGAGAGTTAAGAAGAGAGGACGGGGAGGGGAGGAGATGAAAGGAGAGTGAAGGAGAGCAGAGGAGAGAGGGAGACAGAGAAAATGATCTTGGGATGTGGCTGGCCCTGTTACAGCTGTGTAGTGCAGACCGTGCTGTACTGGTTGTGAGAGGGAGATAGCAGATTCAGGAAGAAAAGAATGGATGACATGGAGAACAGAGGCAAAAGGCAGAGTCCTCCTCGCTTTCCCCTTGGCTTTCCTTTTCTAGATCCAGTGCTTTCCAAGTCCTAGCTGCACCCCTGCCCTTGGCTGTTCATTCTTATAGCTCATCTCATTCCCATCATCAGTTAGGTTTTATTGGGTTTCCTTAAATAATAGCTGCGATAGGTCATGAATTACGCTTTCTGTAGCAAAGTCTGCTGTCAAGTACAAAGAAGCACTGGGCCAAACATGAATTACATACTGAAATGGTCAGAAATCGTGTAGATATTAGACATTGTGGGGTCAAAGTCAGATAACACAAGGTCTTACAGTGCCAATGGTGCTGGGAGAATTTTGTTTGGTTTTGGTTTTTTTGGTACCGGGGATCGAACTCGGGTCCTTGTGCTTGCAAGGCAGGTGGGAGATCCACTGAGCTAAATCCCCAGCCCAGAGAATTTTGTTGCTTAGGGCATGTACTACACTTCTTCAAAAAGTGCATTGTTGGGAAAACTCTGGTAGAGTGGTCTAGTTAAATCTTATCACTTATTTGGAGGTGGCAGTACGGTGGTAGTTTTGTTCCTTATTCTTTGTAAACTATTCAGGTATACTTTGTGTCATAGATAGAAGAATCTAAACTTTTTTTAAACAGCTAGCCAACTGTATCAGAACCATTTGTTAAGCACGTAATATTTTAAACTATTTATGACTTAAAGGACAGATGCTGAGCCAAGTGTCTGAGCCAATGGGAAAAAAATAGCAGGAAGTGATTAGCAATTGTGACCAGCATGGGGTACTAACAGAGATTCAGCTGTTAGCTGTCTGCATTGTGGAACAGAACCCACAGCTGTCTTCCACCTCCCTCTTAACTCCTTGAAATCTTAAAGCAAACCCAGTGGGTTGTGTCATCCGTGGCCTTTTGCCTCAGGTCCTTCTCCTCCTCCTGCTTCTCCAGTCATGAGAAGGTGAGTGAGCCAAGTGCTTCCCTCCTGAAGCTTGAACCGGGTGGTGGTTTCTACTACCCAGCAAGACCTTTCCCAGAACTGAGGCCCCAATGGTAGAGAGATTGGGGCACAAACAGAAAGAAGTAGAGAGATTCTATGACATGAGAGAAAAGGACTAGAGGGTGACAAAGGAAAAGGAAGAGAACAAGAAAAACCTAAGGTACATTCCATGTTTCCTTAAAAATAAGAACTTACTAGAAAAAAACCCCAGCCTGATCAGCTTATGTTGCCTTACCTCTCATTACAAACTAGCCACGGAGCAAGGGAATAGTGAGGTATAATCTTCTGTGTAACAGTGGCCACCACCATGGTAGCGACTAGCTAGGCCTGGTTCTGGTTAGGTCAGTCAGGTTAGGTCTTATTTTCCAGAAAACATGGTAGAACAATGCCACTGTGAATGCTAATGTTAAAAGAAATATGAATGGCTTTGTATTTTTGCTCCCTTGTTTTATAAAGAAAAAGAAGAATCTGGAGAAATCAACAGGCTTCTCCAAGGTGCACATCTCAATAGAGCAGGATCAGGACTAAGAAGCAGGTGTCCTGTCAGCCTCCTGGGGTTCTTATACCCTATACCAGTGATGGTGAACCTTTTAGAGACCAAGTACCCAAACTACAATCCAAAATCCACTTATTCATCTCAAAGTGCCAACACTGCAATTAAACCCGAATACTGACCAACTACTCCAAAGCTCTGACAAGCCTTGGCTAATGAGTCCAGGATCATGACATGATTATCTGGTGCCTTTCCAAGCATGCATATGTCCCCTGTGTGTGCTGTTATCTGATGCTGGGGTGCTGGTGTGGTGCTAGGGCAACTTGGCTTACGTGCTGACTGTGAGAGTTCTGCGGGCCCGCTGTGGTACACGTGACCTAGGTTCACCACTACTCCCCTCATTGAGACATCTGAACTGGAAAGGTATTGAAATCTCAGTTATGGAGAGGTGAAGCATTCAGAAAATAAGAAATCATGAGTTTTTAGATTTAGGACTAAGGAAAAAGAGGGCTCAAGTATCTGTGTTCTCTGGGGTTTCCATTTTGGCCTTCTAGGTCAATACCCCTCAGGGAATACAAACCCTGGGAAGGGGAAGAGTGACTTCACCGGAAGGAAATGTGAAGTGATCCCCATAGATCCTAATAAGAAGGAGATTTTAAGGATTTCTCACAGTACTAGTAGTCACAGTACCATTGCTAATACCTGCTTATATTCATCTTCTTCTTTTTCTTTCTTTTTTTCTTTTTGGACTGAGGATTGAACCAATGGTCTTTACACTGAGCTAAATCCATAGTCCTTTCTTATTTTTTTGATTTTCAGATTGGGTCTCCTTAAGTCACTAAGTTGCTCAGGCTGGATCAAAGTCGTCTTCCGGCCTCACCCTCCCAGAATGCACCACCACACTTGGCTCTATGTTTAATATTCTTGGGTCTCCAATGTGGGAAATCTATGACTGATTCGAAGATCAGGGGATGGCACAGTTGTCAACAACAATTTTGTAATCTTTACCTTCTGATCTATAGGGAATGCAATTTCACAAAGTAGCTCAACTTCATTGGTAGTGAATGGTATTCTGGAGGAGTCAGTAATTCTTCTCCTGAAGTTTCCTGCAGGAGAAAAGTTCAAGGTTATCATCCAGCATTACAATGACATGTTTATCACCTTCATGCCACAAACTGAACTTGGAAACTTATAGTTCCTGAGGCCAAATCCCAAATGGAGAGAGCAAATGAGTTTCACTTGGTCCTACTCCTTGTATCTCAGCAATCTGACGATGGCAGACAGGATCTTGTATAGCCATGATAAATACAGAAAGCTTTCAGGTGCTCTCTAGTTATACTCTGAGGATCTTCAATGAGTCAGGCCATAAGAGATCAGGTGACTACCACTAAGGGTGTGTGGGGGTGGCCAATGAGCTTCAGGGGCCAGATAACCCTTGGTGAATGTGGTCCCTTAGTTTTACTCTTTTGGCCAGTGCAGAACCCTTCCCAGGTAGTGTCCTCAGTAACTCATGGAGCCTTCCTGATCTGCATCAGGCCTACACCTGCACTCACATCCTATTATCAGTGCAGCTCCATTTCCATACTTACTGGGCCCTTCTGCTTTCTCCAGCACCTCTAGAAAATGCTTTGAGCAGCTTTAAAGGGAGCTGAGAAAAGCAAAAAGCATCCTCTTCCACTGGCATAAACATGCTCTGTACTCTGGTTCTACTTCCTCTCTTTCAGGTTCAGAGGCAGCTGAAGGCACCTATCACCTGGTGAAATAGATTTTCCTGGGGAAGGGGCTTTTTTCCTTGTGTTTCTGGAGGTTCTAGGAACCTGGCACATCCAAACACAGGGGCTCAACAAACCCCTTAGTGTAAGGACCACTGAAGTCCCCAGAACTTTGCAGTAAGAGGCCACTAGAGTCCCCAGGAAACCCAGGCTGTGTCCAGTTGAGGTCACTACTTTTTTGTGGCTCAATGGAATTGCTTTTATTGAACTATATTTTTTTTTCAAGGTGTGGTACTATGGACTATCAAAGGCCACTTGGAGAAAATGTTGTATCTTTTCATTTGTGAGCCTATGTGCATATACTTACATAAGAATGAGGCAGTTTGGGCAAGAAGAGCTAAAATAACTTTATGAATACCATATGTTATCCAGTTAAAAAATATCCTTTTCTATGTAATTGATGGTTTCTGAGATCCAAATAAGATATATCAGTGTGTACAGCTAAAAGGAACACATACTGTGTTTTACTCCTACAATATCATTATTAAAATGACAGGCCTTTTAAAAACAAGTGGTTTCTTCTGTTGGTGGAACAGCAAATTAGTACATCGGTTTTGGAAACTGTGTGTTGATTTTTCAAAAAAGTAAAAATAAAATTAGCAAAATCTCACTTCTGGGTATATATCCAAAGACTGAAATAAGCATGTTGAAGATACATCTACACTCATATTTATTGTAGCACTATTCACAATCACCAAGATATGGAGTCAACTCAAGTGTCCATCACTTAGGACACCATGACATCACTATCTCATGAATAGAATGAGGGGCAGGTGTTGGGATCAAGAAGTGTGGACAGGCACCAAATATTATGTCTAGTTTGAGGGAGCAAAAAGTACTTTAAGAGGGATGTGACATCTAAGATTGATCTTAAAAGACATATTTTCCTATTTCCTAGGAAGTTATGGAGGAGTTCTGAAGAGGACTCCAGATAATGAGAAACGTAATTATTATTTATTAAATGTCTGCTATGTTCCAGGTGCTTTGTTCGTTATCTCACTAAATACCCCCAACAACTACAAGAAGTAGGCATTGTTATCTCCATTATTCAGACTTAAAAGCAAGCCATTAATGTTGTTCTCTCTCTGTTAACCACTAACTAACTAGTCTCTCAAAACATAAGATTGAAAATTATTCAAAGCTTCTTTTCATGCATCTCTATGTACAAAGATTAAATCACATCCTACCTAAATAGTCATATCCATTCCACTCATCCCTCTAGTATAACTTAGATATATGCTCTTGTCATCTTGAGCCCTTGCTGCAGTTTTACCCCTTCCCATTCACCAAACTGATCTTTCCAAAATAACAACAAAAAAAATTTACTTGTCTAATGGGAAGTTCAAAGGGGAAGCTGACCAGTGTTGACTTAATCTGGTGGTGCCTGCTCCATTTTCCTGTAAGTCTTTTTTGTCTGCCTTCTCCACTGTTAGTTTCATTTTTTGGCTTCATAGCAGGCCATCTACAGCAGTTTCAATGTTCACATTTGCATGTCCAGTGAGAGACAAAAACTACCTTTCCTTGTTCCTTTTGAGGAGTGGGAAAACTTTATCTAGGAGCCACTAGAAAACTTCCTACATTTTATTAGCTCTTATTTTATCATGTGTAGAATTTTGAACCCATCACTGGTTAAAAGAATGGCATCTGTGGACTGGTTTAGGTCTGAGATATTGAGCCAATCACAGGCAGGAGCATGAGATTTTAAAAATAGCTTAGTTCTTGAGGACCCACTCCCAGAGCCCAGGGAGCAAGCAGTCTTTCTACATCACTTGAATGCTGTGCAGTGGAGGTAGGGCAAAATGGATATTGAGTAGAAATCATGAGCTCACTACATGGATAAGATCCAAACTCCTTGCCCAACTGACAAGGCCCTTGGAGTTTTGGCCTCTACTTATCTCTTGGAACTTATTCCCTCCTGTTCTTCTTTGCATGCATAAAATCAAGCCACATTGACCACCTACACTTGTCAGGAGCAATTCTACATAACTTTAGGGAAAAATGATTTCACAAATTATATAATTAGGCCTACTTTTCCTGCCTACAGGCCAGCTATGGCATAATGGACACTGGGACATAATTCCATTTTTGCCTCTGATCACAGCTAAAACCTCAATGGTCCTGTGATGCTGTGATGCTCCAGGGCAGGATTACATCAGTTGAAGACATCCAGGGGAGGGGCAAATTCCTAATCAACATAAATTCCTCATCTGACTGGGATCTTCATCTGTCTCAGTTCCTCATTGTTCTAGGATTATTGTCTCTGCCCTCTGAGTCAGTCTGTTACTCCCGATGTACCTAATAAAGGTGTGGGCTTTTGTCTTTGCTGCCCAGAGCAGCATTGATCAGGCCCAAAGCTCAGCTTCATCTCTAAGTCTCCTTTCCTGTCTTTATTAATTAATTCTCCTTGTGCTGTCCTGGGTCAAGGAAGACCAGGACTCACTGCAGGAGTTCTGGTAGCAGCCCCTTTCCCTGTTCCCTACATGCACTTCCTGAAAAAACAAATATTCTTTCAGATGATTGTACTTTTTATATATTTTTGTCTATGTTGACATGTTTATCTAGCTAGGCAGACAGACATACAGACAGCTTTCACTTCCTGGAACTGCTGGCCCTTTTGATTAACTAAAAACACATTCTTCAAAATCAACCTGAAGTATCGTTTCCCATGTGAAGTCTTCCTTGGCCTCAGTCCACTGGCCTCCCTGGTCATTTCTAAACATACCAGGCATGCCTCTCAACCAAAGCCTTCACTCTCACTCTTCTGCTTGAAGGCTCCCTCTTTAGGATCATGGAATTCTCTCATCTCTTTCAAGTGTTCGTTCAAATGTCATCTTAGCAAAGCCTACCCTGACTTCTTTTTTTATAATCATAGCCTCCCTTTACCACACTTTTATGTGCTGTTTCTTGGTTCCCCTTATACTGATTTTCTTATTTTAAAAAATTTTTATTCTTGCATTTATAATGTTCATACATAGTATATAGTTAACTAATCTATTGTTTATTTTTTTATCTGACTCCTCTGGGTAGAATATAAGCTGACCAAAGTCAGAGAGGTTTATTGTGTTTATTTATGTATCCCAAGTGCCAAGAGCAGGATTTATTCTACGAGGACATCATAACCATCTGTGGAAAGAATGCATATTCAGGCAGCTCTGAAGATGCAGGTGATTCCTCTTAGGACAGAGGGATATGAATTTTCAGAATGCAAGGACAGGGTACCTTTCTGATACAGTGGGGAGATACGTTTGCAGAAAACACTAAAAAAAACCCCTATATTCTTACCCAATCTTACCACCAATATTCTTTACCACCTATATTCTTTTATTTTTTCACTGATTTTCCATTTATTTATTTTTTCTTCCCCAGTACTGTGGTTGGAACCCAGGGATGCTCTATCACTGAGGCTATTGTTTTTATTTTGAGACACTCTTGCTATGTAGTCCAGGCTGGCCTCAAACTCACAAACTCCTTCCTCAATCTCCCAAATGCTAGAATTACAGGTGTGTACCACCACACCCAACCCACCCAGGCCTCTTTTGATTTTTTTATTTTGAGACAAGGTCATGCTAAGTTGCCAAGGCTGGCCTCAAACTTTCAATCCTCTTTCCTCAGCCCCCAGGGTAGGTTGGATTACAGGCATATACCACCATGCACAGTTGATTTTCTACTTCTGAAAGTCACACTTTAAATTAAAAATTTCTGTTCTATAAATTTCCATTTGTCAAAAGACACTAGAGAAATGAAATTATTTTATCTTCTCAAGAGGAAGAAAAGGGCAGCTCTTCATAGGTCTTTCTTCTTTTTCTTTTTTTAGTGTCTTAAATGTCAATGATCACAAAAAGTTCTGATTTCTCTTCATTATAGACTTGCATTGCTGAATGTTACTGCTTTGACTTCTGCTCCCTGAGGATGCTTGGAAAGTGAAAATTCTTTTCCCCACCCAATGGAAGGTAATTTGAAATTTCTTTGATCAATACTAAGTACTTTCCCTTCCCAGGGTATGAAGAATTCATCAGCACTGAATTTATAAAGCCATTCATCCAAAAAGTGAAACAGAAGAGATTGCAAGTCATTCTCCTTCTACTGTCTGGAGGGGCTCCACGGTCCCAGTGTCTGTCATGTATGCAATCATGGCCATAGCACACTGCTCAAACGCCTCCTCCAGAGTTTCTCCCCACGCATGTAACTGGACATCTGTTGTATGATCCAAATATTCATACTTCTGAATGACTGGAGGATACCTGGCCTTGATTGCTTTCTGGTCCTCAGTTAAATTGTAATCTCTAACATCTTCCTTTTCCTGCACCATGATTTCTACCACCTATATTCTTTAC